TAGATAGATAGATAGATAGATAGATAGATAGATAGATAGATAGATAGATAGATAGATAGATAGATAGATAGATAGATAGATAGATAGATAGATAGATAGTGTTTGTATTGTTGAAGCCTGTGGTATACATAATTACCTGTCTATTTTAAAGTGTTATGCAGGTTATTAAGGTTGATCTAGAAGATATGAGATCGTATAAATAAAGAAAACACAGAATTTCCATTATGAGAAATCAGCCGGCCGATACTGTTCAGGGAGATGATTCTGTTTAATCTGAGAATCTTCCGAAAATCATAAATAAATTATGTGGGCAAAATTCAGATACGAATTGAAAGAAACTATTATACCTTCACGGATCTCGGAAAGCAGCTAATTTATGTTTAAGGCACATACAATAACAGGTAAAAGGTAATTATGTCATGTGCTAAACAAATTAAGCACTACATCATTAAGGCGTATGAGGGAGTTCATGTATAGATCCACACTTTCTTGACCTCGGTACTAGCTGAAGGTGAGTGGTCAGCTTCACGCCTGGCTGCTGTAATCCCGAGGAAAGAGCTCCCGGTACCCATTGGACAGGCGGTTGGGTGGACCCCAGAGCCGGTCAGGATGACGTGGAGAAGAGAAAATTCTTGACCCCACCGGGACTCTAACTCCGATCCCTCGGTCGTCCAGCCCGTAGCTAGTCTCTCCCGGTACAATAGCAGGAGGAGCTGTCGCCCAGTACAGGGAGTTCTGCAAATTTGTGCACTTCTCTTCGTTGTTCGTATCCTGTTGTGTGTCATAATTTGTGGCATTTGGCCGTCAGCATAACATAACTGCTCACATTGGTTTTATATGATGGCTACTACATGTTTAGGTCCGCATATGGGACCATCTTCAGGCCGTCTCATCAAATACATATCTTGTTACTGAATTGTACTAACATGGATCCATATGTCCTGCTCTTCACAATCATATAATACATGCAACCGTCAGGAAGTTGCGAGAATTTTTCTAATTTAAAAAATTTTCAAAGTTAAAATTTAAACTTAAAAGAGGTAAAACGATTGGTTTATTTTTACCTTTATTATCGTGTTGACAGCCAGATCCACCAATCGTGTACTTCTTGTTGGTTACTCTGTCCGGATAAATGAGTCTCGAAGCCAGGACTCTGCTGTGGAATGCCAGCAGTTCCATCGATTTAGATGCTAAGCAGCGACCACGTGACAAAGAGTGACCACAGTGTTTCTGTGTGCTGGTCGATATGGAAGTGAGTCCATTAAGGTGACCGTCATATTGCCGCCACGTGACTGGTAAGAAGAAGAACGGCCCAAAGTGGTGCGCGGTCAGTGAAACGAATTCTTGTGTACCCTTATCGATACTTGGTACATTCAGAGCCACTGTTTCGTCTGCAATGCGTCAAAACTACGCACCTTTACGAGTTTCATGTAGTGGGCTAAGACGTCGGGGCTAGACTCCATCAATTATTTTCCAAATTTTCGGCGAATCTTGCGATTTCCATATGCAGGAATAGTGTCTTTTGGAAGGAGGTTCTTTTTTGCAGCTCGTACATTAACCCTCGCTAATCTGGTTACAGTTAATATGGAAATATGAAAATTACTGTTCACAGTTGAGTACATACTTTAGAAGACACGTGGCGTCTAGGAAGGCAGATGAGTCACTTGTCTGTTCAGACAAAACTTGACAGTTTCTTCAGACCTGCAGTATTACGTTCAAAAACAAGTACAACTTCTGAGTCTTCTATCTATGAATAAATTTACTTTCTTTTTAGAGTTCTCAAGTTCAAGAGTGATTTTTTATTTATTTTCATCATCACTGCTTATATCCATTTTTTTTTATTAAATCCGTCACAACACAACTATATTAAGGTCACTGCCTACTTTGGCTCTGCTACATGTTTCGACTATTAAAAGCCATCATCAGGCAAATACATGGCTAACATATATGCACCACTGAACCCTGATACTGCAGTTCAGTGGTGTATACATGTTAACCATGTATTTGCCTGATGATGGCTTGTAATAGCCGAAACATGTAGCAGAGCCAAACTAGGCAGTGACCTTAATATAGTTGTGTTGTGACGGTTTTAATAAAGAAATTGTATATTATAACACAACAGGATGCATTAAATGAAAGTTACTGCTTATATCATTACACTTCCCATTTATTCTTTATCGTCTAGGGCCCACTTTTGCTTCCGTAACCCGGATGAACCCACCCAGTTACTCTGGATTAGCTAGGGTTTTGGATCTCCCATTAGGCAGTGTGTCGGATTGTGCCTTTATTCATGCGGTCACGGCTTCAAGTCTTATATATTACCTTACGTCACACTGACATAAGACCTACTGAAATCCATCCAGGAGTCAATAAACCTAGAAATTTCAGCGACAGGGTTTGCCGAAACGTCGGCAACTCCTCAACATTGGACACCGCTTGGCCCCGGAAACTAAACCACACAACAAACTCCAGCACTAGAAGCTGAGAGTATTGGAATCAGGCTAAAATTCAGTTTTTCCCCTTCATTTTGTCATCTAGAAACATACAGATTAAAATAAACAAAACCGTACTTTCTTCTTCTGTTTTGTATTCGTATGAAACGAAGTCTCTCACGTTAAAGGGAGAAGTTGAGTCCTGATGAGTTTACGGCAGTGACTTTGAAGATTTCTTCAGTATGACNCTGAACTTGAACTTGACTTTGAAGATTTCTTCAGTGTGACAGAACGCTACCGACGTTTCGGAGGAACTGTTGCATCCACCTTTAAGGTAATAGTGACTCTTTTTGCCTCAAGATGGAGACATAAGTTAAAGTAAGGTAAAACTATCCCTCTGACAGGCCGTGGAGACCTATAGAGTTGTGAGACGTCGAGTCTCAAACATTTTCTAGACAATCGGCTCAAAGATGACAGTGAGGTTTTCAGCCTTAGACTCTGGTCGCTCTTTACCCAAAGGAAGATTCCTGATACTCATTTCTCTTAGAGGCTGAGTCGACCCCAGGGCCATAGTGCGGCTGGAAGGATAGTTCAGTTGAAAATCCAGTGACCTCGTCGGGAATCGAACCCTCGACCTTCCGGCTTGTAGCATAGTGCCTGAACCAACTACGCTACCTCATTGAGACATATTTCTCCCAAATCTGATAGCTATTTACTAAAGTCCCAGAAGGTATCAAGCTTTAGAGATTGAGGGACTTTGAAACAGCATATTGAACAGGTTAGAGTAGCGGCATCGGGAGGTGCTCGGTTCGTATCTCGACAAGGAGACACTGGCTATCCTAACTGAAATTTCTGGTAGTTTTTCTCACCTCACCCCCCCCCCACCGAAATATATCGGGATAATGCCTCGCTTAGTTCAGAACTGCTTCCTTCCACTGTCACCGTACTAATGTACGCAATGGAGCCCAGCTACAGACAGCGTCGTGAAGTAACCAATAGAGAAGAGAGCAGTGGACCAGTGATTGAGGCTAGCTCTTTCTAAGGGACTCAACAAAATAGGCGCTTTCCCTCACCTGAGGACGGAAACAGATCCAGTTTCCGAAACGTCTTGTTTTTCTTAGTTATCTTAAAACCAGGACGATGGATAGAGTCCGAAAACCCAATACCTCTATGAGACAAAATAAATGTTTACACAATTTTAATCAGAATACCTTCATTGAAGAGAACATTAGAGAGATTTAGCCGTGAATGTAGCCTATGCTGCAGGGTTTGGTTTGGATCGAACTGGATGAAAATAGGGGCCAATTGTGGACTCGTGAATGACGTAATAATTTGTTTAAAAATGGCTTCGAATTTCTTGTTTAGCTGATAGATTATCAGCTTCTTAAGAATAATTCTACTCCATGTAGTTTTATATTGTTTTATTTTGTTAAATATGCGTCATATCAAGTCTTGATAAGAAGTCTTTGATGATAACACGATCTGATTTATAAAAAAAAGAGAGCAGGTTGGTGAAGTTGCGTAACTGTAGATTTGTAGGCCACATTTTGCACGTACTCTCTTCGAATGTGCCTCATTCATCTGCTATCGTGAAATGGGGGCCTCGAAACTTTATTTAAATTCGTCACTCTCTCCCCGTTCTGAGTTCATGCATAGGCCTAGTCCTTTTTACGCTTCGCTGATAAAGTGGGAACTGCCCACGTTCAAGCAAATGTGACAACGCGAGCTACATTGCTTAGCAACGACGAGTAAACAGCGGTTGCTAGGCAAAGCCTACAACAATACGGACAGTGACATGTTTTCTATATGTCCGACTCTAGGTTACATAAGAAGATACATTGAGATAATGATGAAGTGTATCATTTTACTGTCATTTCTAATATCTGTCTTTATGAACTAGCTGACAAGTGCTTCTTTTAATAGTTAATCCCTTTAATGTCCAATTTTATGCATTTCCAAACAGATCCAACTTGAACCCTTTAACTTCCGTCACAGAAATTCATACCAAAAACTTCAAGGCTACGTGAGTGTAAATTTGTTGTTCAAAAGACCATACTTATACTAAGATCATGTGAAAGACTGGTCTTGCCTCTAAACAACGTATGTCGTACCTGGTGCCAGCTATTGACATATTTCGTATGTTGTACTAATGTGATTACAACCAATCATTCTCTTCTATTGTGGCTGTTTCAACACAATTTCCCCCCTAGACAATATATTCGATACCTGTCGTGAAAGGGTGTATCAACTTTTAATATTATCTTCACGTCTTGCAAGCTTCTTGCTGCCTTCATAGTTTCGGGCTGAAGTATAGTAGACCTGTTTATTTCTCACCTTCCTCTATGTTTTTAATTTCAGTTTTATTCTGGCGGTGTGAAATTGATTTATTTGGTACCATCACAAGTGGAACCTCTGTTCTACCCCCGGATGATAGATGTGAAAATGGAGCATGAGTGGAATTATAATTGAAATGAGAAGTCTTATTCGTGCTACATGCTCCGACCACTTCATATTCCTTGACTTCATTGTACTAATAATTGCCCTATTTGCCGCATAATGCACTTTTCTCCACAAGACACACCGCCACTTCCTCCCTCTTAGCTCCAAACATTCTCCTCAACGAGCTGTTCCCAGACACAATCAGTAAGAGATTACGGTTTTCTGGGATGTGACCCAGTGTCGGTTGGTTCAGTGTTACCGACGTTTTCGACGAAACCTGCACCTTCATCTTAAAGGATGAAAGATGGAGGCTTCAATTTCCTCTGAAACTTCGGTATCCATTTACAAAACTGCAAGGGTTCACATCTGTTAAGACCATAATCTTCAATTTCAGGCGTGAAAACTTCAAGTCACACTTTCAATACAGTGCTTGTATGGGGACTTTAGATAAAAAAGGTAAAGCCCATAGGGTTGTGAGACGTCGAGGCTCACACATTTTCTAGACAGTCAGGTCACAGATGGAGGTGAAGTTGTCAGCCTTAAGTGCCAGCCGCCCTTTACATTCAAGAAGTTTCCTGGTACTCATTTCTGTTAGAGGCTCAGTCGACCATAGGACCATAGTGCGGCTGGAAAGATTAGGTAAATTGAAAAAAAAAACAAAAAACATTCAGTTCATTAGGAATAAGACCGGCTATCTTCCGGCTTGTAGCATAGTGCCTCAGCCAACCACGCTACGAGACCAGTTCGTTGGACAGCTTTATGAAAATACCGCATCACGTAATTTATTCGAAATTCCTTTAGTAATTTTAAAGGCCGAGTCAATCGAACGCGACCTTCCATATGAGTTGCACTAGAACGACACAATAATAACGGCAATGAAGGCCCTTAAATCCTTTTAGCACTGCAACCATCAAGAGTACTCGGTAGCCCACTTAACATAGGCAAGCAGCTACGCAGGTATGGTCGCATGTTTGCTGCTAAATTGAGACCATATTTTGATAAAGGAAACTGGGTTAAAGGGCTCACGTTAATGGCGCAACTGTAAGCACCATGGTGGCGGTGCTCTAATCAATTGCCCGGCCGTCTGTCTACCCACTAACGAAAGAAATCCATTTGAGCCGTGTCAAGACACCTCAGTGACATGTTCAGAATATCATAGGACGCATAATGCATAGACTTTAAGTTCGGGAACTGTTTAGAAAAAAAAAGTATATATAATGTTAAAGCTTTTTCTGCCTTTATGCAGCATAATTTGATTATTGTATAACAAAACGATTGAAATCAAGTTAAAACATAGGTCAGTCTCACTACATATTACCATTAAGTCACTCATGACTCATGCAGCTGATCCCTTCTTGAGGGGTCGCAAATTCTGCAGCTACTCAAGAATTTCCCAGCATTTTATGGACGCAGGAGGTTCGTTACCATGTTCACAAGAGCTCTCCTCTGATCTCTATCCTGAGCCAGATAAATCCAGTCCTTACAACCCCGTCTTATTGCTTTCAGATCCATTTTAATATTATCCTTCAACCTACGTCTTGGTCTTCCTAGTGGTCTCTTTCCTTCTGGCTCTCCCGCCGATATCCCATATGCATTACTTTTCTCAAATTCGTGCTACATGACCTACCAATCTCATCTTCCGTGACTTGATCATTCTAATTATACTTGGAGAAGAGTACAAGTTATGAAGCTCCTCATTATGCAGTTTTCTCCACTGTCACTTCTCTCTTCGGTCCAAATATTCTCCTCAACATCCTGTTCTCAAACACCCTCAGTTTATGTTCCTCCCATAATGTCAGAGACCAAGTTTTGCAGCCATAGAAAACCACGGACATAACTGTTGTTTTGTATATTCTAATTTTCTGTTATTATTCAATAAGAAGCCCGGATAGCGTAGCATAGTGACTGGCTATGGGCTGGACGACCAAAGCGTCGGAGTTCTAGTCCCTATAGGGTCAAGAATTCTTTCCTCTCCAGATCGTCCAGACCAGATCTGGGGTCCATCCAACTTCCTTTCCAATGTTTACCGAGGGCTCTTTACCAAGGGGTACAGCGGCCTGGGCACGAAGCTGACTACTTACCCCAAATTAGTGCCGAGGTCAAGAAAATGTGGATTTATATGTACATTCCCCATACTCCTTCATGGCGTAGTGGCTAATTAGTTAAACCCAAGGGACAACTTTACTTTTTTTATTCTATAGTAATGATGATGCAGACAAACCTAAATTATTAGGTACAGAACTGGTTTATCCGCGGCGTGCAGCACGGGTGCCGCGAGTGGATAGGGGTAGGAAGGAAGCCTGAGAACAAAAGTGGGACATGTCACAGGAGAAGGAAGAACAGCGTGGCCACAATATACGGGTCCGTGCATTTCAGGATGGGATTAAGGACGATATGCAAAGAACGGTAAAGGTTTCGGTAGAGGTAGATGGAAACAATGTACGTGTTCGCAAAATTTTCCCAGTATGTGCATATACGTACCGGCATGGTGTAGTTGATGGGGAGGTTCGGGTAACCCCTCCCCGCCGGCGCTCGGCTTGCCCTCCGCGGTAGCGTCGTTGAGGTCCAAGATGTCACAGATGTGGAAGCCAGACGTTCGGGTCGGCATCTTAAGGTTATCGAGCAGCCTGTAAAGTGACGGCACGCATTCAGACCAAAGGGCACAATAGGGGAATTTGTTGCCCACTTGAAAGCCGCTCCATGGGCCGTCAAGAGGGGCACAAGGCTCACCTATCTCAAGTATACCTTATTCACAGTGTGGAAAACATGGCTCATGATAAGCCGACGGTTGGAGCAAATGCGTCAGTCACTGTCCTAATGAAAACAAGACATTTAAACTGAGCTGTTATGAGCGTCCTCTATTATTTGGTTGATTGTCTCCTTGAGTCGGTTTTGTCACACCCTGAGACAGGAACCTCGCGGAAGAAACGTACTGCATTTCCGGTGTGGTGGCAGTAGTTCACATCATGTCTTGGTAAGTAAAATCTAGTAACGTTTTGTCGTCCATGTGCAACTTCGTTCACTATTTGAAGTTGCACATGGACTGCACAAAAGGCAGCGCCTTAACTCAAGCGGTTAGTCGCTGGCTTTTCAACGTGGTGGCCCGGGTTCGATCCCGGGTCTGGTCAAGTGGGATTTGTGGTGGACAAATTGGCGCTGGGGCAGGTTTTCTCTGGATACTTCGGTTTCCCCTGCCAATCTTCATTCCACAAATTGCTCCACAATCACCCTCACCTATCATCTGGGGCTGGGGCCAGAAGTGGCCGCAGCACAAGGGACTTAGTCCCATCCCACTAGCAATAAAAAATAGTAGGCACAAAAGCTCCAAAAATCATGTCTATATAGACTTACCCCTCACATATGTTTTAGGCACATGATACGTGTATGTACAAGCTGCAATTCTTGTATCTACTTTAATGCTACAAAATTATATCTTAAGATACAGGGCGATTCTAAATTATTGTCAGGGTTTCCGTGACCTATATTTTCAAATCAGATTCAATAAAATCAAACCGTTTGCGGAAAATGAATGTTTAACTAAAATAATTTTATTTAGTAACGCCCTACTCGCTGCGTCGAAGTCTTGATTGGTTCAGTTATACTTTCATTTTACGTAGGCAGTTTTATTTTGTTTTTCCTGTTTGAAAATTATGTCACTGAACCCCCGACTGTAATTTAAAATCACTATATAGAATACTTCCACCGTAAATCTGTGAGTCGTAGAAGGCGAGAGAAATTGAACCCGGTACCTAGCGCTATAACTGGTCCACCCTGTCACCAGGGGTACATAAATACAGGGACCTGGTCCTGAAGAATGGTGGTTAGACGCAAGTCTGATGGCCTTGCTTTGTAAAAAATTGTCAACAACTCCAAAGAAGCTAAAACCCGATGAATATGGAAGAATTTCCTAAGGAAGACTACGGTTCAAACAGGGGTGGTTTTTGCATTACGCGTAAAAAGACGCTGATCTAAATATGATTATAATTTTCCGCTACTGCAACACAGAAAAGGTGGTGCAAGACGAATATAAGAATCTTCTTGAACGTTATGCCATGCTGATTGCTGTCCAGCTACTTCCTACTCTGAAACTGGAGGCAACAGATTATTCTGAAATGTTGGCAACACTTATCAAGCTATAAGCCCTCTCGTCTGAGAAGACAATAATCTTCATTGTCACCTACGTCAGACTTTGACACCTCCGCTACAAAAAGATCCGGTTAAGGCTGTTCAGGAAATCAATCGCTGTATCCAGAATCGTAGGAAACCCAGCAGTACGGTGGCAGAATTAGCATTGTACTTTGAATAGTTTAGTTAGTTAGTTAGTTAGTTAGTTAGTTAGTTATTAGAGAGGGTGGGTTTCCCCATGCACTTAGACCTGTAGTGGTCCATTGTGCTTCCCTCTATGATTTCTACCAGCCTCTATATCCTACCGGTATTGGTGCTTACCATCAGTCCCGCCCAGCCAGCGAGACCGGCTCTACTGGCTGAGAAGTATCTATAATGCTTCCCCCATCTACCGGAGGTATTAGTGACTGCTGTTGGGCGGCAAACGTCCGCAATTTTGGCTCAGTGACCTTTGAATAGTTTAAGTTCAGTGACCAGAATATGATCCTACATATAACTTAACCCTACTTTTATACCGTCCTTGCATTTGGCGTCCTCACCTGTCTTATATTCTGGCATATGACGCCGTGTAGTCCGTTTAAAACTTCACAGACATTTCGGTAGAAAGAACTGTCTGCATCTTCAGGACCCAAAATATGCTAAGCAATTAACGAATAAGAAGAAAGGAACAAGTAGAAGTCTACCAGACTACATGGTGTCACAATCCAGAAGATAACACTCGATTTTGATGTCCTTTGTACTCATCAGTAATGTGTGGGGGAAACCTATAGATAGCTAAAAAAGAAGGTGAAGAGAGAACGCTGATTCCTGTCGAAAACCTTGCTCCTACTTGCATTCAGTGGGCTGTTTCCTAAAGGTAAAGAAGAGTCTACCAGTTACTATTCCAAACGTCTTTCTACTTCTCCGAATTTCCGAACTGTCTATGTTCTTCTTTATTCGGGCCATAGTCAGCCTGTTGACATCGTTCCAAATTGGAAGATTCACGATAAGAAAGAAACCAATGAGACATGGAACTCAGTCGGTTGTTGCCATAAAGATTAGTGTCTTTTTGGACGTGACCCCGCTTAGTCTGGTAGATAGTTACCAACGTTTCGGAGGAACGTGCTTTCCCTTCTGTCCTTAAGGTTGACTCAGGAGGTTCCTCCGAAACTTCTGGGTTATCAGTCATATAGTTCAGTAAATATTTACCAAAATTTCGGAGTGTTATGTTCCCCTTTTACCCTGAAGACGGAGACAGAATGTTCTTCCGAAATTTCTGGTATATGAAGTCGGGTAGTCAAGTAGATAATTAACAACTTTTCGACTAAGCAAGCTGTCTCTTCTACCCCGAAAGATAGAGGTAGAATTCTTCTCGAATATTGCAAGATAATATTTTCCGAGATTTGTTTCCTATGAAGTTAGGAGAAGCAGATGTGCCACTGTTGTTCTGAGGGCCGTGCCCACTTGCAGTACTCGAAACTCTATCCAGGTTCACCATTGTTGAGTCACGTTTCCCAGACAAGTGTTTCAGTTTAACTCTTGGCTTTTCCAAAGTCGCAAACTGTCAGACTACAGGACAAACTGTGAAAGCCATGTACCTGCTTCTCTGCATTCCTCGGGCCAGGGGTGTCTGGATATTCAGAAACTTCGAACGTGAAGAACAACATAACGACGCGAAATTCATATTGACCTTTCAAAAGGAGAATCTTGCAGTTCCCAGCTTCCACAGAGACACGGTTTTAGGTACATTCCGATTTCCGCGGACACTTCGTAGTGGCAGTTTCGGCTTACATGTACCATACTAACTTCAGGTTATGAAAAGACAGCTACCTAAACTGGACAGAAACAAGACTTTCTGGGAAGAACTAGTCACTTACTTTCCTTAATATTGTCACATGTATTAGTGAGTATGGACAGGGCCATAACAAATCACTGAGCACTAAGTCTACTTCCACTGGTCTTTACTTGGTAACAGCTCTCCACACTGGCTGTTCCTCTGCAGTGTTTTCTAGTAACGAATCTTCGCAATGGAGGTTCCTCAGCTTCCATTGTCCACCAACAGCTGAACCCTCAACTGCTCTGCATCACTCTCTGAACTGAACTCGGTCTGTCGAGTCATATAGCCTCAGAGTGGACCCACAGAGAACACCTCCTGCGCCACCTCTTGTACTATTGTGTGACGTCACCACACACGCATATGCTGCTGGCGGTACATAGCAACGGCTGTACGCGTCACGTAACATGACACCTCCTCAATTGTTGCGCGCGTGCATTACATAGCAACGGCTGATGTTTACAGAGTCACCTCTTAACAACGGGTCTATACGCCACAACATGACACGGACTGCATAGAAAACAAGGCGTCCAACAATTCTTCTAGTGTTATGTTTGTATTCGTTGCAGGGGTAAAATTTTTACCGAATAATTACCTAGCAACGACAGAAGGGCTACACATACAGACACACAAACTTATGGGAGGGATTTATGAAGTACGCCGTTGAGACTGGCTCAGATGCCGTGATATACATACAAAGTTTCACAGAGATTTGTTCAGGCATTCAAAAAATGATTAGTGGGGATTCATAGACACATAGGCAACATGGTGATCTCATAAATGAAGTGAAGCTAAAAATACGAATTAAACCTTGTTGCTGTACGTGAAAAGATATATTGTGTGATTTTTGTCGACAAAATTTGACATTACAATACATACTCATGCCTATCTTCCACTGTTGCTTCTTGCTGCTATATTCGGCTCCTACCCGTAACTACTACCAACTATGACTGCCTGGCACTGCAGAATGACTCAGTGACAATTGCTAGATCTTCATATAGGCCTGCTTGTATTTGTCACAGTTGAAGTTATCAAGCCTCTCGATTCCTGTGGTAATCTCCTCAGCTCTTACACGGTTTGGTCTGCCAGGTTAATAAAACAATATTTTTTTTCCCCACTGGCTCTACAACCCCCTTGGGCCCTGGCCTCTGATGTTCAGTTTCATGAACATTTTACAGACGGTAGGACTCCTTGGACGAGTGACCAGCTCGTCGCAAGGTCTCCACCTTAACACAGGACAACACAAACACAAAATAAACATCCATGCCCTGAGTGGGATTAGAACACACGATCCCGGCTTCCGAGCGAGCGAAGACAGTTCATACCTTACACCGCTCGGCTATCGTGACCGGCTTAATAACAACATACTACTTTAAAACGTTAGGGGCACGAGGTAGCGTAGTTGGTTGAGGCACTATGCTAAAAGCAGGAAGGTCGCGGTTTCAAGTCCCGATGAGATCATTGGACTTTTTTCAATTGACCTATTCCTTCCAGCCAGGTTGAGTCAGCAGCCTCTAACAGAAATGAGTACCAGGAATCTTCTTGGGTGTAAAGGGCGGCTGATGGGTAAGGCTGACAACCTTGCCACCATCTATGAGCCGATTGTCTAGAAAATGTGTGACCCTCAACGTCTCACAACCCTATGGGCCTCCACGGCCTGTTACAAGGATAGCTGTACTTTTTTTGCTT